CCTGGATCTTTTGGATCGTAATGATCCACGATCCAGGAGCGTAGATCTGCATGATCCAGTACGATCCACGAACATGGAAGGATCTATATAAGACTGGCACGTCTGCCATTAGATAGGAGCTTCGTGCTCAACTTAGTAATCAATCTTATCATATTAGTTTGACATCTTTGATACAAGTAACGAGTTCACTTCCAAGTGAACAACCCGATAGTCTTCTTCTTATCATAGCATACCAACCAGCGAACACCCAGCCAAGTTTAGTTAGCTAGTTTGAGTATTCGTTACACCTGTGTAGCTAAGTGTGGTTTTGCGGTAATACGAGCGATATAAGTTCTGGCCCTCACGAAGGCTGTAAGAGTCTCCCTGGAGACTCTTATACTGAGATTGTATATAGAAAATAATGAATATTCATATAAGGATTAAAGAACTCTTTTATAGTTTTATTATAAGATTTTCGCGTATATTTCTATTATATTATTTAGTTATATACTTAGGTCTAAGGATATTTATATCTTTAAGTAGGTAGAGTAGATTAGTTATACCTTTTTAAGTAGATTTTCGCTAAAGTTTCTATTACAGAGTCTAGTTATTTACTTAGGTTTAAGAATATTAATATCTTTAAGTAGGTAGAAGAGATCTGTGACGGTTATGGTCACGAGGGCTGGATGTCACATGCTCGCTTAGCTGTCACGAATCACGTGCTAGCAGGTGACGAGTGAAGACCAGGCGGCGTCCTGACGGGTTAAACATTATCATGGACTCTTATAGCGAATAGGGACGCTTAGACTAGCTAAGTGATCCAGGGATTTCTCTTGGTTAGTTATCACGTGATGGAAACGAGCGACATGGCCGACGAGTCGACCATGTCGGCCATGGTCGAACAGTCGACCATGGCGGCCACAGAGAACGAAGGTTCTATATAAGACTGGCACGTCTGCCATTAGATAGGAGCTTCGTGCTCAACTTAGTTATCAATCTTATCATATTAGTTTGACATCTTTGATACAAGTAACGAGTTCACTTCCAAGTGAACAACCCGATAGTCTTCTTCTTATCATAGCATACCAACCAGCGAACACCCAGCCAAGTTTAGTTAGCCAGTTTGAGTATTCGTTACATTAGCGAGGCGCTAGCGCGCACGACCTGTATTTAGTTCCCAGCTCTCTCGAGCTCTCCTTCTTTCCTCGTCTTTGGTCCTAAGAATAGAGTGTTAATTGTTCTGAGTTCTACCTGAAGCACGTCTGTCACAAGATCTCTTATAGCTTTTTATATTAATCTTTAATATAAAGTTTACTTAGTTATTTAGATATACTTTTCTAATTCTAGAAACAAAGTTCTTATATAGAAACTAAATATAATTTCTTTTGTAATAGAAAATAATAACTACTGATATATTAGATAAATACCCTAACGCGCTAGAGAAATATTAAGTTTGTAAAGTACTTTTAGTTTATTACTTAGGATTACTAAAGTATCTTATTTATTTATTTTTATTTTTTACTTTTCTTTATATATTTCTATTTATAAGTACTACTTAGTCTTTTCTAATTATATTTCTCCCTACTAATTTTATAGATAAGTCTTTATTTACTTCTCTTTACTACTATACCCGTTTATTTTCTTATCTTATAGGTAAATTCAAGATCCTCTTAGTATAGGGATAGAAAAATAGCTATAGGGAACCTATTATAATATCTATATCTCTATATATATATATCTAAGTAACTAAGTACTAGACTAGCTATTTAACTTCTCTTCTTTAAGTAACTAGATACTAAATAATAACTAATTACTTTACTATATTTAACAACTATTCTTTATAAGTATAAAATAACCTAATACTAATTAGTATAATTACCTGAATTAAGGAATTTTAGAACTACTTAAGTTTAAGTAACTAGTATCTTATTAGTAATAGCTACGCTATAGGGGGCTTACTATTAGGTCTTTAACGTCTAGGGAATTACCTATACTATATCTTAATATATATTATCCGATAACTAATCTTATCTGATGTGACGAAACTCAAACTATCTGACAAAGGTAATCGTTTCGACGGTTGGTATGCGGGTAAGAAGTACAGATGCGCCGGGTTGTTTACTCGGAGGTAAACTCGTCACTTGTTAACAAAGAAGTAATAACTTAATAACTAGATTGCTAAACTAAGTTGAGCACGAAGCTCCTATCTAATGGCAGAAGTGCCAGTCTTATATAGAACCTTCGTTCTCCTGGATCAGTGCCCGTCGCTCTGGTCCTTTCTGACTCCTCAGAGGTCGTCAGGCCGATCACCTCTGATGCTAATTGATCACGTGACAATAACTAAAGGAAATCCTTGGATCGTCTAACTAGCCTAGTCGATCCCTATTTGCTATAAGAGCAATGATAGTGCTCAACCTGTCAGGGCGCCGCCTGGTCTTTACTTATCACGTGCGCGCACATGATTCGTGACATCGTATTCGCGAGATATATATATAGAGCCCCTATTTAGGTATTAG